CCCCCGGCTTCAGCTCCACCAGGTTTTTCTGCCCGAAGAAGTCTGTCTCCTCCGCAAACGTCAGGTCCAGCACATCTGTGATGTCATTCTCCAGCATCCACCTGCAGGGCACGCGGGGGGGGGGGGGGGGGGACATGGCCAGTTGGGTTCATCGGCCTTAGGAGTGTTCCTCTACGCAGGTCCTGCCACGGCTGGCCCTTCCTTCACCCACAAGAAATTACTCCCAACTCCCACCCCCACCCCCCGCTCACGTAAGGTTCTTGTAAAAGTCGGGGTCCACGGCCTCGATGTCGTGGTAGGTCAGCTGCTCGCCCAGCATGTGCTTGTAGAAAGAGCGAGTGAAGTGCGCGTCCACGAACTGGCCATCGTGCAGCGCCTTGCCGACCACGCGCCCCACGAACTTGAAGAAGTCGAGGTGGTTGGTGCCGCGCGCCTCGTCGTTCTGGACCACGGAAGAGGGGTTGGGCTGGAAGGTGGTGCCCCCCTCCGGCACCGGCGCAAAGAGTGAGAACTGGGGGTTGAACATCTCGCGCGACATGACCTGCATGCGGCGGCGGGGGGGGGGGTGATCAGGTGTGGAGGGTGGTGGGTGGCTGCATTGTGGTTGGCTGGGTGATCGTGGAGGCTGGAGATGGGTAAGAAAGGGGATGCTGAGGGGAGAGGGGGGGCCCTCAAGGAGCATGTGCAGAGTCGATGCATATCACAGCGCAGGCGGCTCGACGTCCTGGTGAGCGCAGAACGTGGTGGATCCCCCCCAAACTTCCATGTCCTCCGTCGCCACTGTCGTGCACGCGATCCACCGAGCGCACCTGGTACCACTCCCGCGTGACGCCGCCGGCGTCCACGCCCTCCTCGCCCTGGAACAGCACCGACAGCTTGTGCTTCATCTCCGCCGGACTGCGCATGCGCAGCTGGTAGAAGGAGTCCTCGAACGCGTGGCCGCGCCGGATGTGCAGCCTGGGCGAGGGGGGGGGGGCGTCGATGGGTATTATGGTGCAGGTGCGCCCATGATCGCACCCCACCTCAAGTTGATCAAATCTGCACGCCCATCTCCTCAGACGCCCGACCAAAAGCATGTGTCAACTACGGAGGGCTGATGCATGCGCGAGTTCGGAGCAGACACCCATCCTGAGAAAGGGCGTCCTGCACCCACGGCAAGGGTTCCCGGCAGCCAGCACGCACCTTAGTGTGCCGGTCTGAACGCCGGCCTCGCCAGACTTGACCTTGGTCCGGAAGTAGGCGCGTCTGCATGGTCATAGGTGGGTGGTTTGGCTCAAACATGCTGCTGTCCATGGGTGCATCTGCCCCAACCAACCCTCGAAAGCTTAGGCCCCCAGCACCACCCTCACATCCCACAAAAGCACACGACGCCAGCACTCCCGATCACCGACACCACCAGCCCCCTCCGCGCACTTGTTGTCAAAGTCGAGCAGGCGATGTGCCTTGAGCAGGAACCTGAAGGAGTTGAGGAGCAGCTTGGGCTCGTTCCTGACCAGGGCATTGACCAGGCGCCGGTGCCGCTCAGCAAACTTGAGGAACGGACCCTGCAGGGTTGGGGGGAGGGGGGTGCGAGGTGTGTGTGACTTGGATACCGTGGGTTCGACAAAGGATCTGAGGCTGGAGAATACAACAGGCGCAAGAAATTGGGGATGCCTCCTGCCCTTTGCAATGAGGCGCAGGTGCGCTGGACTGGGCTTCCCGACACCCGAGTCTGGGGTGTGCCTACCCGAAAGTGCAAAAGCACCGAGCCATGGCAGGTAAATCCCACCCGATCCAGCTGTCCGGCTCACCGAATGCAAGAGGAACCTGCCGGTCCCCGCAGCCTCCAGCTGGCTGGTGCCGCTGGAGGCCCTGGCCGGGGACGCGGAGGGGCTGGGCCCCGCGGGAGCGGTTGGCCCGTCCAGCGGCAGCCCCAGGCTGCCCGCCCGACTCGCCGACGCCGACCTGGTTGATGGGCGGGCGGGGAAAGAGAGATGTGTGAGTGGACAGGTAGCGGAGTGAAAGGGTTGCAAGGGAGGCTGCCGTGCCGCCAGGCTGCACGCTGTCAGAAGGACTCCCACTGCCGGCACCACTCATTTCACGTCCTGGTTGAAGTACCCCCACCCCCACCCACCCACGCCCTCACCCCTCGTCCCCGGGCTGGCGCCGCAGCATGCCCAGCGCGTCGGCGAGCACGAAGAAGCTCTCCAGCAGGGGCCGCAGGGCCACCGCGCCGGCGGGCAGCACCTTGCCGGCCTCGTGCCGGGTGGCGCCGGCCGCCTCCAGGCGCAGCTCCTCCTCCACGTCGGCCGCCGCGGCCGACAGCGCGGACCACAGCGGGCCCAGCGCGGCCTGCGTGGCCTCCACGGCCGCGCCGGCGCCGGCGCGGCAGGCGGTGGCCACCTCAGGCGGCGGCGCGGGGTCGCCCGGGGTCAGGACCCGACGCAGCACGTCGTGAAGGCAGGTGGAGGCGCGGAGCATGCGCCGCGACGCGCGCTCCAGCGTCGGCCGGCGCCGCGCGGCGAGGGGCCCGCCGGCGGGCCGCCCATCGAC